TATTTTCTTCTACTGTAGAAATGTTCCATTGTTCCACTGTAGTAATTGTTCCACTTCCAGTAACAGTATGAGTAGTACTACTGCCAGTAGCAGTTATAGGGGTAGTGGCTACATTTCCAGAAAGAACATCATCAGTACAGTACTCTAACGATTATTATGCTAATACCTCTTACAGTCCTAACACTTAGAATATGTAGAATTCATGAATTTTTTTTTTACATGTATTATTACCTGCAGTAGTAGTACTAGTAATTGGCTTCTCTGTAATATTTAAATAAACTGGTATCTGAATGTCCCCTTCAGCACACCAATACCAGCCACTGTCCTCTGACTTTAGTCCACTCATGGTCACTGTGAAAACATTTTGTTCTCTCATATAAGTGGTCACTGTTGTTCTATCTGTGGATCCAAATGATCCTGTCACACAGTTCCTGTCCAGCCTGCACCACTTCATTGCTCCAGAGTTACTGTGGTGACATCTGATGGTTATGCTTTCTCCAATATATCCTGTAATCCTCTGATGATCGACGTAGACACTAGGGGTACCTTACCAGTAAAACAAATAAAAAATGAACAGATTTTAAAAAGTGCTCAATAAAAAATTCATTGGTAATTCAGACTTCATATCTAATGAATTAATTAAAAATAAGAGCACATTCAGTCTTTCTGAAAAACTTACATTTTTCTGACGGAAATGATAAACTATTTGAAATGTGCATGAAAATAGGCACTTACCACTGATAAATAACAGTTGAAAATACTGTCCATAATCCGGTCCATTATCAATCTCCACCACACACCAGTAATCAGTGTTTTTATCTGTCAGCTCGTTTATAATAACGGTGAAAATTTTCTGGTTTTTGTCATCAGAGATTAAATATTTTCCTAAAGGGTCTGCTTCATTCGATTTTACTACATATCTGCAGAAGTCCCATATATATCCTTCACACAAGTACTTCACATGGTCTATATATTGTGACTCATAGAGACATGGGATGGAGATAGATTTTCCAGCTTCAACTGATACTTTACTGACTGTAGTTATGCTGTGAACTCCTGCAACAGGAACAAATAAATAAATATAAACAAATTAATGATCTTCATGTTTATGTTTAATTAAAACATTTTTCTTTCACTTGTCTCTTGTACATGTGGACACTTAGTATTGTTAAGTACAAAAGCAAATAATACAAAATGTCTTTAATGTAATAATCTGCTGAGATTAGTCACTGAAACATGAGGTATTTAAATGATTGCTGTGACCAACCTTTGAGCACACTGAAGAGGAGAAGAACGATGAGATGAGCAGCCATGCCTGTGAGTGAGTAGAATTAAAACACATGAACCACAGTCAAGTCTG